CTGTCTTCTCTCTTCTCTCTCTCTCTACTCTTCTTCTCTCTGCTCTCTCTCTCTCTCCTTCTTCTTCTATCTCTCTCTCTCTCTACTCTCTGCTGCTGCTTCTCTCTCTTTCCTCTTCTCTCTTCTGCTCTCTGTCTCTCTCCTTCTCTCTCTTATCTGCTCTCTTCTCTCTCTCTCTCTCTCTCTCTCCTCTTACTCTTCTTCTTCTCTCTTCTTACTCTCTCCTTCTCTCTCTTCTTCTCTTCTCTATCTCTTCTCTCTCTTTCTCCTCTCTTCTACTCTCTCTCTTTCTCTCGCATCTTCTTCTCTCTCACTTCTCTCTCTCTCTCTCTTTCTCTTCATCTCTCCTTCTCTCTCTTCTTTCTTCTTCTCTTCTTCTTACTCTCTCTCTCTTCTTCCTCTTTCTCTTCTCTCTGCTCTCTTCCCTGATCTTGCTCTCTTCTCTCTCTCTCTTCTATCTCTACTCTCTCTCTCTTCCTCTCTCTCTCTCTTGCTTTCTCTCTATCTCTTCTCTCTCTACTTCTCTCTTCTCTCTTCTCTCTTCCTGCTTTTCTCTCTTCTTTCTCTGCTCCTCTTACTCTGTCTCTTCTTCTTCTCCTCTCTCTCTCTATCTCTCTTCTTCTCTGTCTCTCTTTCTCTCTCTCTCTCTTCTCTTTCTCTTCTCTACTCTTCTCACTCTGCTCTTCTCCTCTCCTCTCTTCTTTCTCATTTCTTCTTCTTTCTCTCTCTCTCTCTTATCTTCTCTCTTCTCTTTCTCTTACTGCTCCTCTACTCTCTCTTTTCTCTCTTCTCTTCTCTCTCTTCTCTTCTTCTGCTCTCTCTCTTTCTCTCCTTCTACTCTTCTTCTCTCTCTTCTTCTCTCTCTCTTCCTCTCTCTCTTGCTTCTCTCTCTTCTCTTCTCTCCTCTTGCTCTCTTTCTGCGCTTCTTCTTATCTTCTGCTGCCTCTACTCTTCTCTTCTGTCTTTCACTCTCCTTACTCTCATTCTCTAATCTAACCCCTCCCTACCTTACTCTCATTCTCTAATCTAACCCCTCCCTACCTTACTCTCATTCTCTAATCTAACCCCTCCCTACCTTACTCTCATTCTCTAATCTAACCCTCCCTACCTTACTCTCATTCTCTAATCTAACCCCTCCCTACCTTACTCTCATTCTCTAATCTAACCCCTCCCTACCTTACTCTAATCTCTAATCTAACCCCTCCCTACATTAGTCTACCTTATGTCTGGAGATGTTGAACCCTCTTAAACGACCAACACTAAATTACACCTCGATGGATATACTTCTAGATTTTATTACTTTGTTTATGTAACACATGGTAATCACTACTTTTCAGTGGTCGAATCTTCAAATAATGCAAGACAGGATTCTGAGCTGGCTACTTCTAGTTCCCATCAACAAAATACAGGTTGGTTACCAGCCTAATTTTTAAGGGAACTCTGCTTACAGATTTTCTTAACACTCTATTTTCTCTCGTTCTTTAATGTACCCCTCACTTCCTTATTCTCGTTCTCTTATACTATCCCTCCTTCCTCAAGTATCGATTTCTTTCAATAAGACTCATTTAACAACCCTTTTCACTTGAAATATTTTATCCCATAACTAAGAAAACAAGATATAAACCCCCTCCCCCTGTTATGAAGATTTGTGATACCATGAACTATATAACATCTCATGACGAGCTATTTTAACAGGTGATCGGTTGGCAGATTTGAAAAGAGATGGTAAAGATATAAGGGAAAATTATATCTCTACTTTCGAGCCACTACCCAAACAGGATCCAGAACAACCAACTGTGTATTACCCGGTTATGGTCCCACCAATGCCTCTTTCAAAATTTATCGACAAAATTGATTGGAATTCTGTGAACAAGCTCAAGAAATCCAATAAGTGCAAGAAAACTAACTCTGGAGTTCCAAAGTACTGTGAAGAACTTAAAAATAGCAGATATGGGTTTGAGGCTGAGGTAAAGGTTTTTAGGGTTCTTGAGAGAATAAAACATCATGATAAAATCACCGTACTTCACGGTTTAAAATACCTTCGCAGTGATTACAAGCTGTTTGTTGAGGAATCTTTCGAGAGTGAGAAAATGGGTAAGAAAAAGAGGAAACTATGTGATGGAAACATAACAGGGGAGTGTGATTTTATTGTAATGGGAAAATACTATTTTGTTATCATCGAAGTCAAGAAAAACACAGCTGATCGGAATGAGGCAGAGCTTCAAGCAAGCAGAACAGAAAAGCTTATTCTAGGGATTGCTAAAATGTTAGGTAGTGTAGTTCCTAAAATTTTAAAGTTTGCCGCATTTCCGTATGAGAAAGAAAGATGTGTGGGAAGAATCACTAAAGTGGACATAGAGAGTGATGATAGCTTTAGTTCTTGGTGGAAAACAAACGTTACAGAAGAAATATCAAAGGATCAACAATCTCCTGTATCATTTGAAGAGACTGAAAACGTTCTTCTCGCATTGTGGGCTAACAAGAATAATATATGTGAGAAAAATATATGCTCATTAGGAAGAACATACGAGACATCGATGCGAAGTTGAAGACAGCAATTATCACGTTTGAGAAAAAGGGAGTAAGAAATGTCAATTCAAATCCTGGTGTAGTAGAAGCTCCCCCTGAAGTAAGAGATTATGTCGGTATCAAATATTTGACTGCTGATCAAGACAAGACATTAAAATCGAAAGAAAAGTTGTTGTGGATAAACGGACCGGCTGGGTCAGGCAAAACAGTTGTAATGTGCGGGAAGATTTTACAGTTAGCGTTATCTGATGAGAAGAACAAGATCGTGGTATTCACATTTGCTGGTAAAGGTAATAACGCTAACTTGTATCAAACTGCACTGAGTAAAGCAGGGGTTACGTGTAAGACTTACAGTTACAAGAAATGTACATCGATCGTGTCAGATGAGATAAATGATATTAAAGAACATTACCAGGTTGTAATTGTCACTATAGATATGTGTCTAGAATTGGAGTTCCACGTGTTTTTAGAGAACTGGCAATATCTCTAACAGATAGTAGTGTATTTATAGACGATATCCAGGCTTTAATATCCAACTACCCCATTTTGGGGACTAAACATGTATTTATAGAGCTTCTTAACGATCTTATCAAGTTGTCTGCTGCACACCACGTGTGGGTGGTATGTGACATAGCACAATGTTTCCTTTATACGGATAGTAAATATCTTTTTCAAATACATGATTTACTAGATATAGAGGACAAGTTGTCGAGTGTGCGGCGAGTAACATTACCTAAAAATTTGAGGAACACTCAAGACATATCATCTGTTTTATCTGTAGTGAGGGGTTTTTGCGCTGACATGGTAGGAAGTGAATTTGGATACATTTTTCCAAAACAGGAAGATGGACATTTTATAAGAGGACCTTTAACTAAGATACATGTTTTGGAGAATGATGATTATACCTTGATAAAAGATGTCTTGATAAATGAATTTAAGATGTTGTTAAAGGGAGATGATTTAGATTATTCCGACATTGGAATATTGGTAACTAAAATGATAGATACTAAGACAGAACAGTTTATTGTAAAGACACTGAGTAGTGAAGGTTACGACACTAATAAGATATCAATATGTACAGGTTTTGACAGCTTTTCATCTGAGTGGCCTGCTGTTATTGTGTTACATGAAGTTGAGGTCGATTCGTTTTTATGGGACATCAGTCAACTTTATCTTGCAATCTCACGAGCCCGTGTAAAGTGTTCTGTTGTGTTATACCAAACTCCAGAAAGGAAGTATTCTAGTGACAGTAGTGACAGTGGTGACAGTGGTGACAGTGGTGACAGTGGTGACAGTGGTGACAGTGGTGACAGTGGTACTGCATTTAATAATATTATATCCAGATTATTAGATTTGTTGGAGCCTATAGCTCACGTGATAAGACATTAAATTTAGTTTCCAAGTACATAGTTGATTTGTTCAAAGTTATTTACTTGTGTTACTGTTTTATCTGATTCACAATTTCCTTAATAACTTTAATTTCTTTAGTAAATTTTATATCAATGTTTTATGTTACGTATGTTTCAGTATTTTATTTTTATAGTTTCTAAAAAAGGTTACTTACAATAATTGATATCACCACACCACTCGTTCGATAAATATTCGAGGAATATATCAAATGAAAGAATATTCAAATTAATTTTTTTGGAATGAAGGTTCATTTTCGCATTTATTTGATATGTTAAATATCCAATAGAGCCAAATTGTATTTGGCCATTCAAATTTCATTAACCCTGAGTTCTAGCTTCTTAGATGACCGAGATATGAAGCATAGCGAGTTTATTCATTTTGGTATAAACTTGTTATGCATAGGTACAGTATGTTGCAGTGGTATAGTATAACACCCAACATTAAACATATTATGTACACTGACTTCCCCCTGTACATTTAATCATGAATAGTGACAATAGACCAATATTGTCACCTGTTTCATATCGGGGGTTATTACTATTCCACTTCCTTAACTGATATGATAACTGTGTAAAGAGCAATATTTAACTACTTTAATAAGGGGCAAGATGTAATTTAACATAGTATTCCGATGTGTGTGTATTGAATCCCTTCGTACTCTTATATATAATACACTTTGATACACAACTGGCTGATAAATGGAGATACATATCACTGATACAACCAACAATACAAGTCAGTATCGAATATTTGAGAGTTTTACGGATAGTTTTTTGACCGTGCTAACCGACTTTTATTCGTGTCCTATGATGTTTTATTTTAGGTGATATTTATACTGTGTACACTGTATTTAGTAAACATTTATACTGAATTAAGTAACTTTGAATATGTTTCTTAAATGTAAATGTAAATGTCAAAAGTCAATTAATTGAAGTTTGCGGTTTGGTGACTGGAATTAAATAAACCCAAATAATCTCTTTTTTATTTCTAAGGAATTTGGCTTATTGATATCACTGATCTAAATTAATTTCCTGAATGTATGAATTTTCCTCATTATTAGGATGATAAAATGGGGTCTGGTACTGGCTTTGATTATGATGATCACTGGGACAATTAACACAATATCTGCTAAGTAAGTACACTTTTATCATTGCTTCCAATCGAGCTTTATCAGTGAGTGATCTTTAAAGGTTTTACCTTCATTAGAAAGATTGTGAAAATGGCGTTCTGTAAGCAGTAAATTGAACTTAGTGCTTATCGGACATAAGGGAAATAAGGGATATTTGTAGAGTGTAAAATATACGTGTCGAGTGGACACTGTCCACCACATAACACATAACAGCCGAGTTATTACATTCTAATATTTACAAATTATGGGCATGTGATGATATTCAATACTTTGTGTGACGCAATGGGAGTTTTCTAGTACAGAACTCGCGTGCACCAATCTTGCATATTACATTTCAACTTCCGTTTGTGTATTCTTGTGACTTCTCCAGAAATCACAGTTCTATATACTGATACTTTATACTTACAATATGACGTCAAATGTTGCACATCAAAACTCAAAAGTATTAGCAGAAGTCCGAACAGCAGGGTCATGGGAAACTAAAACTCACCACTTCATCAAGTTGATCAGAAATATTTCTAATCTGTACGAGTCTTTCGTAATTCATATTATAACAACAAGAATATGTTAAGAAGAAAACACAAACATTAAGATTCAGAGACGAGAATAAAATAAATGTAATTTCCAATCCTTCTAATATTACAGGTTTGCCGACGTGTCCGCGAGTTATGGTGCTGACAAATGTGAATCCTTTAGGCGCACTTTCTACCATCCCTTCTTTCAAGTGAGTATACTTTGGGCTGGTTTGTTTGTGAACTATTATCTGTCAAGACAGTGGCCCATGATTTTTCGTTGTAACTCTTGTTTTATAACTCTGCCAGAAGACGCCCCTGAAACGGTCTACTGTATATTTTACTGGAAGACGCAAAGAATAAAGTTGTATGTTTCATTGCGCTACACGCGTGGCCCGGCGCGCAGCGCCGGCCGTCGCGTACATGACAGCCAGATTTTAAGTTTACCGGCTTTAGTTTTACCGTTTTACATCGGTTGCCTATCGGATACTATCGCTGCATATCACATCTGATAGGTAAGATATGCATCCGATATGAAACTATGAACATAAAATCTGTGAAAATGCGGGTCCGTGTCCGCATGCAATGAGTTAACTCGCGCGCCATAATTATTATATGTATTAAATTACAAATTTGATGCCAGTCAATTCGATTTATTTCGATGCTCTTCTCTCAGCTGGACTACATTATTACTATAAAATCAATCATCTTATTTGAGGCTTATTTTCAGTATATTTAAAATCTGGCTCGTCCCAAATTCCTAAAAGTTACACCTCGCAAATTTTAAACCGGGGGCTCCGACAAAATTAACCAAAACTCCCCTCAGGCGATACTGATGTTTATTGGGGAGTCAGGGTGTTTGGTTGTCTATCATCTAACAGTAGTGGTAGCTAAACGGAAAGGAGAAGAACCTCAAGTAGCGGGAGAGGGTTTCAAACCTTACTTTTTGCTGGTTCCCGCACTTTGCGATCTCACTGCAACCAGCATGTTGTACCTGGGGCTGAGCCTCACGTACGCCAGTGTAGCTCAAATGATGAGAGGTAACTAGGTGGTAACTAGGTGGTAACTAGGTGGTAACTAGGAGTAACCTCTCACTGCAACCAGCATGTTGTATCTGGGGCTGAGCCTCACGTACGCTAGTGTAGCTCAAATGATGAGAGGTAACTTTAACCAATGAGAGGAAGCACATGAGTCTTAACATGGTCACATGACATGGCCACATGACATGGTCACATGACATGGTCACATGACATGGTCACATGACATGGTCACATGACATGGTCACATGACATGGTCACATGACATGGTCACATGACATGGTCACATGAGTGTTGTTTTATATCCTGGGGACCTCCGGCTTAAATGTTTGAAAACACTGAACATATGGCAGAGTAATTGTTTTAGTAATCCACCCTAAAGTCCTTACTCTCAAACCTTTCTCCCCAGGAGCTGTGATAATATTTACCGGACTACTAGCTAGGGTAGCTCTAAAACAGAGGTTTGAGAGACACAATGTATTGGGAATGTTCATTATTGTCATCGGACTAATCTACGTGGGGCTCTCTCAGACCTTACACTTCCGTGAGTACTCAGTACACATAATTATTACGCATAATTATTACACATAATTAATACACATAATTATTACACATAATTATTACACATAATTAATACACATAATTAATACACATAATTAATACACACAATTAATACACATAATTAATACACATAATTAATACACATAATTAATACACATAATTAATACACATAATTAATACACATAATTAATACTTGTGAGTACTAAGTACACATCTGTTATGAACATATCATACGAATAACACATAATCAAAGTTGTTAATGTTAAGCGTTTTCTGTTATATTGCAGAACTATTGTAATAACAATAACCCAAAAGTCTGAAAAGTGTTAGATTAGGTTGTGTAACTACACCCACTCAATAATGGTCGACCTGATATCTGTGTTAAAAGAAATTAGGCGGAGAAATGGAGAAATTGTTATTTTCTTGAAACTGTTATTTTCTTGACATCTTATACTAAATTAATTTCCGACCATAGTTTATCACCTTGCACATTGCGGTATGATATAGAAGCAGAGTCTGAGTCCATGAAAGCCATCTTAACTGCGGTCCTATGCCACAGTAAATAGTTATCCGAGCTGCAATGTGCCTCAGTTATCGGAACGTTTATCTCCTGCGGAGTGTTACCAATGATTTTTTAGTTGTCGCCAATCTCTGAGATCTCAAAAAAGGTATTTAGACAAGTTGTCAGACTTATCCCGCATTAGATTCTTAGTGCTAGTGGACCAGATTCCTCCTCTCATTATTAAGTTTATTGTTAGAAATTGAAGAGCCTAAATTTACTAAAAACCTCCTTGCCGTTGCAGAACACCAAAACTCTAAGTATCTCTGGGTTATCCCATTTCTTTTCCACTCTCCAAATATTAGCATTTCCGTCGGTCATGATATTTGGATGGAAGTCATCATGTTTATTCATACATTCATTTAGACGGTATTTTGAGGTACCACTGGAAACCTCTATGTCGATCTTTCCCGCGTTTCCCTCGTTCCCGTAGAAGATGATCCTCAGGTTGCCCTGCGAGTGTGTCTGTATCTCCAGTGGAGAAGACGCTATGTTGACTTTTGTATCTTTTGGCACTGTAATCCAGCCTGTGGGAATTTAAGTAAGCGGATAATTAGAATTTGTATTTGGGCATAGTTACAGCATAGTTACAGCATAGTTACAGCATAGTTACAGCATAGTTACAGCATAGTTACAGCATAGTTACAGCATAGTTACAGCATAGTTACAGCATAGTTACAGCATAGTTACAGCATAGTTACAGCATAGTTACAGCATAGTTACAGCATAGTTACAGCATAGTTACAGCATAGTTACAGCATAATTACAGCATAGTTACAGCATAGTTACAGCATAGTTACAGCATAGTTACAGCATAGTTACAGCATAGTTACAGCATAGTTACAGCATAGTTACAGCATAGTTACAGCATAGTTACAGCGTAGTTACAGCATAGTTACAGCGTAGTTACAGCATAGTTACAGCATAGTTACAGCATAGTTACAGCATAGTTACAGCATAATTACAGCATAGTTACAGCATAGTTACAGCATAGTTACAGCATAGTTACAACATAGTTACAGCATAGTTACAGCATAGTTACAGCATAGTTACAGCATAGTTACAGCATAGTTACAGCATAGTTACAGCATAGTTACAGCATAGTTACAGCATAGTTACAGCGTAGTTACAGCATAGTTACAGCATAGTTACAGCATAGTTACAGCATAGTTACAGCGTAGTTACAGCATAGTTACAGCATAGTTACAGCATAGTTACAGCATAGTTACAGCATAGTTACAGCATAGTTACAGCATAGTTACAGCGTAGTTACAGCATAGTTACAACATAGTTACAGCATAGTTACAGCATAGTTACAGCGTAGTTACAGCATAGTTACAGCATAGTTACAGCATAGTTACAGCATAGTTACAGCATAGTTACAGCATAGTTACAGCATAGTTACAGCATAGTTACAGCATAGTTACAGCATAGTTACAGCATAGTTACAGCATAGTTACAGCATAGTTACAGCATAGTTACAGCATAGTTACAGCATAGTGTTTAGTGACCCACACTTGCACGACACACTTGCACGACGCACCTCATAAACGGAAGATTACCAAACGATAGAACTAGACAATTCTGCCAGTATTTATAAAGACAACAACTTACTCAACGAGCCAGCGTTCATTTGCAGAGCGGACGAAGACTGACACGATAAAACTAATAACAGTGAAGTAATAGTGAAGTCTGAAAACTACTAACCGCTATCAATTGCAGACCCTGAGGCGAAGCCGAATATCCAGTAGATCACTACAAAGGGCTTTATAGTCATTGTAGAGATCCTCTTCATCCTGATGTAATCTTAGAAAAAAGAATCTAAAGAATGTCTCTACATATTTTTACTTTGGGTTAGAAAAATATAGCATTGCAGCAGTGGCTTCTCGAATCCTACGGACTTCAGCATTCTAAAAGTCTACTTTAAGTAGTTTGCTAGTTTACACGATAACATAACAATCTTGAGATACATGCATTAGGTGATAGAACTAATAAACTATGTTTCGGTTACAACTAGAACGTTATATTGCCTCGAGTCATATCGCCTTGGTAACGCTATGTTCGCGTGCTCAGGTTAAGATAACTACCCAACGACATAACGACTCAAAGTTAAAGATATAAAGATAACGAGATAACGATATAACTAGATAACGAGATAACGAGATAAAGAAATTAATTGTAAAAAAGTCAAAAAAACTTAGATGGTACTGGTTACAATTAATAGAAATGGTACTGGTTACTGCTAGACCGGTTAGAAATGGTACTGGTTAGTGGTTACTGCTAGAACAAATAGAAAGATAGAAATGGTACTGGTTACTACTAGACCGGTTAGAAATGGTACTGGTTGCTGCTAGACCGGTTAGAAATGGTACTGGTAACTGCTAGAACAATTAGAAATGGTACTGGTTGCTGCTAGACCGGTTAGAAATGGTACTGGTAACTGCTAGACTGGTTAAGATAACTACCCAACGACATAACGACTCAAAGTTAAAGATATAAAGATAACGATATAACTAGATAAAGAGATAACGAGATAAAGAAATTAATTGTAAAAAAGTCAAAAAAACTTAGATGGTACTGGTTACAATTAATAGAAATGGTACTGGTTGCTGCTAGACCGGTTAGAAATGGTACTGGTTGCTGCTAGACCGGTTAGAAATGGTACTGGTTGCTGCTAGAACAAATAGAAATGGTACTGGTTGCTGCTAGACCGGTTAGAAATGGTACTGGTTGCTGCTAGACTGGTTATAAATGGTACTGGTTGCTGCTAGACTGGTTAGAAATGGTACTGGTAACTGCTAGAACAAATAGAAATGGTACTGGTTGCTGCTAGACCGGTTAGAAATGGTACTGGTAACTGCTAGAACAAATAGAAATGGTACTGGTTGCTGCTAGACCGGTTAGAAATGGTACCGGTAACTGCTAGAACAATTAGAAATGGTACTGGTCGCTGTTAGCCGGTTAGAAATGGTACTGGTTGCTGTTAGACCGGTTAGAAATGGTACTGGTCGCTGCTAGACTGGTTATAAATGGTACTGGTTGCTGCTAGAACAAATAGAAATGGTACTGGTAACTGCTAGACTGGTTATAAATGGTACTGGTTGCTGCTAGAACAAATAGAAATGGTACTCGTTGCTGCTAGACCGGTTAGAAATGGTACTGGTTGCTGCTAGACCGGTTAGAAATGGTACTGGTTGCTGCTAGAACAGTAATTATATTACCCAAGTCTCGCGTTGTGACTTAGTCCAAATAAAGGTCTACTGTCTCTAGAATTCTGCTTATAGTCCAGCTACCTTACTCGGGAATATTATAGCGGGTTAATTTATGACTGGGAAAATTAATAACCGGGAAAAATATGGCGGAATTTCCCAAAACCCGCCAAATTATCCCGGTCATGTATTTACCGGTGGCCGACCTTTCAAGTTTTTTTTCAGAGGTCAACAAATTTTCAACCGAAATTTCTGTTTTTGTTACTTGTTAAAGAAGTTATTTCAATTTACAGTTACTGATATTACTCAGAAATAGAAAAAAAGACACGTCTAGTATTTAAAGGAAAATAAATCTATAGCAATAATAAGTCAAATCTTCATTAAAGCGTATTCTCATTCTCATTATCGCTAATGTCCCCTCCATTATCATTATTGATATCACCCTGCTGCTGACCGTCAAATTCGAAGTTGTATTGTTGTCTTAACAAGACTTTCATTTTGTCCGCTAATGGGGCTACTGCTCTGAAGGTCAGCCGGAGCTTAATTTCCTGCCCACCGCTTGGTATTGGGGAACGTCTTGGCTTTGCATCTTCAACTGCTCCAGTAATCAATCCACCGTGGACCATGAAATAGTGGCACAGTTTACTCACTTCATGGGCAAGAAAAGTGAGAATCACGGTCCACCCTGAAATCTGATTTCTATAACCAAATTGTGATTTTTATAACGAAATTATGGTAGCAACCGCCAATAAAGTTACAGCCCTCCATCCACTGCTTCAAAAGTCTTCTCTAGCACATATGAGACTTCAGGTAAAATATGATGATCACCACCCCCTTGGAACCCCATAATCTGAGTCGGCGGGTTTTTTTATGACTGGTAAAATTTTTGACCGGGAAAAATATGGCGGAATCTTCCAAAACCCACCACTTTATCCCGGTTATAATAATCCCGAGTAAGGTATACGAAATGCCGACGTGGTTCATTTTAATGAGGTTGTGACCAGCGTATTGGTTGTTGATCTGCTTAACAATAGACTAATTGATCAATTGGGGGCTTCTCGTGGTTATGTAGTGGCTAAACACATGACAAGGTAAGCGTATAATTTACAAATGCTTATAAATTAGTGTTATACTGAACTGCTTATAAATATTCGGGCCCCAACTTTGTTAACGATTCAATATGATATGATTTGCTTACGAATCATCTCAGTTGAA